GCAAATTAGCATGTACTGGCCCAACCAAACGATAAATAAATAAATAAATAAATAAAAGGTCCCTCGTTTATTGTGGGGGTTACACAAAAATAACCTGCAATAAGCGAAATCCGTGAAGGTCCAGCTCTATGTTTTAACGCTGTAAAACCCCTCACCACACCTTCTAACCCCCCAAAGTCACGACTGCTGAATTGCGATGTCTGAATATCAAACCTATTTGTTGCAGGTCTGAACGCTGCTGCAACTTTCAAAAACTGTGCATGTAATATAAAATACATCTGCAGAAGACACCACAATAGTCCTCCGACCTAATAACTGCAGTGCACACAAGTCACAGAAGTTTTCTTCAGACTTTATTGGTAACTGTCAAGGTATACTCGCGGTTATATGATATTTTGTTTTGACAATAATATGAAGAGTAACTAATGGTTTGTATTTCATTGACATTTTTTCATTGCTGTCTTATAGCAATAGTTTACAAACCAGAAATTCTCATTCCACTTTTGTTTACACACTGAGATAATTGTGTATCTTACAAGCTGAACCTAAGCCACAGAATTATCTCAATAGTAGTGGCTGTCAACTGATGTAATTTCAAACCACTAGATGACGTTTGAACCCTCCAACTCGCTACTAGGGTGTGTGAGACTTGGATGCATGGTTCGAAAGAAGAAGATCAAGTGTAAATCAATTTGATGGAAGTAAATATTTTCAAAAAATGCACTGGCAGGATTTCATAAAATGAGCTCCTTTGGCGACGACGAAGCCCATGTGGGATGAAGCATCCGATCCCTCTGGAGATCAAGAAGCCCTTCGGAGGATGTCAAGCCGGAGCTAAGAAGAAGGCAAGGAGGTACCGGTACAAACTATTCGTACCATCAATAATAATGGGGAATGTCAACTCACTTCACCATGATGCATCTTACCAGGACTGTAGCTTGTATTGCCTATCTGAATGGTGGCTACATGACAGCATACCTGATTCAGCTCAGAATCAGAATCATTTTTATTGCCACATAAGTAGGAGGAAGTCACAGACTTGGACATTGGTCACGGATCATTAATTCATTAGGAAATGGATGGATGGATGGATGGTTGCTCTGGTTCAGTTTGGGATACAAGAACTTTTTAAAATCTCGGCCAATCAAATTCTATATAGGCTATACTTAGATCAGGGTAAAACAATCGTGATTTGCCATAGTATACCTTAAAGGTACATTGTAATTTTTACTGCCATCTAGCACCTTTGATAGACAGTATGTCGTCTTTGACAGTGCTCCTCAAATCTCAGTCATTCACTGGACTGCCAAGGAAAGAATCCTTTAGTTTGATAAATGACCGGATCTCTCCACATGTGTTGGCCTCTTGACATAGTCGCGTGGAGGCAACATCTAAGCAAGACTGCGTTATGAAGCGGCACCTGCTGCACAGAGGTTCTAATTGAGTTTTACCATGGATCTATTATAATTTATATTTTTACAAACGCGGTGTGAAGAGAAGAGACGCATGAAGGATAAACGTCTTAAAACCACGATGGTCCGAGAGGCCAGGACATAGACTATGTTGACCTCGGATCGGGTCAGAACATCCCTAGACCCGTGCAGATTCTGCCTCTTTCTCATTACTGTTGGTGTGAAGACAAATACTGTCAGTGTGAAGAAAGTTATGTATTGTTTACGTGTGAGTCTGTTGTGTACAAACTACACAATGTGCCTCCTGTTGTTTTAACTCTGCCTTTCAGTGCGTGTGGTTTGCGATGTTGACACTTTAATGCTCTGAGGCCGGACTTTTGCATAATTACTTTTCAAAAAGATTGTTGATTGGGTCATACTTTTATAGAACTGTGGTCCTCCATGGTTCTTTTACATAACTGTGGACCTCCATGGTTCTTTTACATAACTGTGGACCTCCATGGTTCTTTTACATAACTGTGGACCTCCATGGTTCTTTTACATAACTGTGGTCCTCCATGGTTCTTTTACATTACTGTGGTCCTCCATGGTTCTTTTACATAACTGTGGCCCTCCATTGATCTTTTATATAACTGTGTTCCTACATGGTTTTTTTACATGACTGTAGTCCTTCATGGTTTCTTCTTCAAACTTGTGAGGACACAGTGAAAGCAACGATAACAGTCGCACTTGTGAAACGAAACGCAATTCTCGCGTCCTTTTTGTCCCTTATCCACCACTGTATTTCAAGATGCCGCATTGACATGGATATACTCTGCTCTCATGGACATTTATAATTCTAAGATGATTTTATTTTATTTTTTTAAACATGGTGGAGGTAAATATTCTTAAAAAGGTCACATTTGTTATTGGTAAACATGTATTTTTTTTTCATATGGAGCAACTCTAAAAATTACACAGGGTGGGTTTAATTTGTTGCAAATAAATTAAAAATATATGGATAACGACTAGCGCATTGATCCAAACTGTTGATAAATTGAGTCTGACTGTGGCATAGTTCTAGTTCTTCCTATTCTACTAATAGTTTTTGAATATGTTAATATTAGTATATCTTAAACAGTGTTGTCACCCATAATTAACCCTGTAATGTTCACTCCTTGAAGAAAGCTATGTAATTTTTTTTTTATATTTTTTTTTAATGTAGGAGCATTAATAACAGATGCAGTTTGATGGTAAAAGTGCCTAAAACCAAGTGAGATGCCCCAAGGAGGTAGATTTCAGTTGCAAGCATGCTTCAAGTAGATATAATATAGTAAATGAAAAGGTGATCTAGGAGTAAAACCCTATCGTTTAAAATGTTTTCTATAAAGTAAATAGGCTAATTCAATGTGTGTATGCCATTGAAGTTGGTTTAAACGGGAGCCTGTCAATAGATAAATACCTAGGCTATATATTCAAAGATCTAAATTTTTGATTTGGCCTTTTGTGCTGAAAGAGCGACACTAGAGCTGGCTACTTATCTCAGATGCTGAGATGGGCTTCATTGTGAAAGCCTGGCCCACTGCTGACAAGGATCAAAATAATTAGCACAGCACAGAAAAAAGTAGCCTAGTCATGCATGGTATTTACAATTGGCAGCACTGACACCAGTGCAGGAATACTAATAGGCTAATTATACCATGGATTTTTTTTGGTACAGATAAAAGCCATTTCATGCACCCGCCTCACCTTGCTCAAGATCCCGCTGGTCGTACCATGGCTCGTCATCTTCGGTCTCAAACTCCTCCATCGTACCCGGGGCACGGAGCATCGGAAGCCGCTTGGATGTGGCCGTTTCTTCCCCCGCTGCTCCCAAACAGAGCCCGGGGCGATGGATGGGAAGAGAGGAGGGAGGAGAGAGCGACCGGAACCCCGGAAGTGACCGCCACACAACACACACACACGCCCCCCTCCCCCCCTAATTTAGAGGTATAAAAATGCGATTTCATCCATTTTCATTAAACATATGTGCACCTGCTTTGTAGCCTTTTTGAGTTAATTTTGCCTGATATAGTTTCGAAGGCAAAGATGCAAAACATTGAAGATAGGTGGTGGGAAAAGGAAGAGATAAGCAAGAAAGCTTTTTCTTGCGCTCCCCCACGGTGTGCAAATTGACAGGGGGGGGGGGGGGGGGGGCTAATCCAAATTCTGATGACACCCGCTACTTCAAAATGTTTCCACCTCGTCTCACGTAAAATAAATTCACCCTAAACACAGATACCAAAATCAAATGTTTCAGTTTATTTTTGTGTTGTCTTGGGCTCAGAAAGTGGGATTTAAAGCGAAAGGATCGAGGTTTTGAGGGAGCGAGGAGGTATAGAAAAGTGAAATAGGACGTAGCCAGCTCTCTGCTCTGTGGTCCGCTCCTCGTGCTGTTGCATTCAAGTCTCATCTGAAATAGTAACGTTTTAAGATTGTATGGCTCGAGGGTTAAATACTATTGGATGGATCCGATTTTGTTCTTTTGTGATATAAAGAATGGTTTCACCCGTTATTTACTGTATTGTCATAGGTTTAAATCAAGCGACTAGAGCGGGATTATATAAAGTCGATCCAATTTGGTTGAGGGTCAGGTTCAAATATAATTCACTTTTGAAAATATAGCAAATACTCACAAATAAGGACATTAGTTTCCATTTTACATTGGATCAAAAGCAGGACTTGTTTTGTTTGCCAAATTAAGGCTTTAAGAATCTATTACAATGGGACTTTAACGTCTCGCAATTGTAAATGACGTAATCTTTTATGAAACGTCCCATCACTGATGTCTCCATTCTGAGGCTGATATTCAAAGATTATTTCCTCGAACAAATAAACGACAAAATGTTTATAAGTTTGTCATTAAGATATTTCTAATGTTAAAAAAGACACACTAAAAGGGTGAATATTTTGTTGCTAGATACCACGTAATTCATTGTTTCCATTTTCAAAAACATTTTCTATGTGATTGATCACCATTAACAGGCTTAAACACTGGCTTTACCATATTTCTAATTCCAAATAAAGACGTACGTTTACACAGAAAGACATCTGCACTTATCACATGACAAGATATGTGTACCCCAGGGGTGCTCAAGGAACCCCAAAATCTGTGTCATTTTAGTGTTTTTAATTTGAGTACCTTGTGTTAAATGACACCATTTCCCTGAAATTTACAGAAATATGAAGCTGTTTTTGTGTTACAAGCTTTATTATATGTTGAATGTATAAGCTTTATTTTCTTGAAATAATTCTATTTTCTCCCCCCAGCTTAAACAGACTTTGAGAACCACGGGTGTTCATGTTCCAATAGCAACAAATGGCGTTGATGTATTCTGATATTAAGATAAAGTAGACTTCACATTAACGGTAAAATGCTAAAAACGTGTAATCGACAAACATGAACTAAAGTATTCATTTATTCCATAATAAACAAATACAAATAAAATATATACATTATTATTGAATTGTTTGTCTCCCTTTGTTAAAATTGCACTTGGACAGCAGGGGTAACAGTCTTTATACAGTACAGAAGGTTATAAGCACTAGAACATACTTATGATCATATTATTACTCTTTTTTGTCCTCTGCTTTACAGGGTGCAGGTCTTTTAAGGTGCTTCCAGTCACCTTCACTTTCACAGCGCTGGACTTTGCTGAAGAACTTGTTGATAAGAGCTTTGGCCTCTGCTTTGACTGTCAACAATAAGAGGGATATGTAAAAAATAAAATAAAAACTTAAAACGTTATATTCCCAAGAGCCTTTTAGAAATGTTTAAATTATCCTATAACAAAAATATTAGATAAGTATAACAGACAGATGTTTTAATTAGCATTACAAATGAAATTATAATACTTGTCTTTACTAACCAATATCGTGCTTGATAAATACATTACTTACTTTGCCCTCTTCCTTTTGTAGTTCCTTCTGTTAGTAGGTGAGACAAAAAACGGGCAAATGACTTGAACAACTCCTGAAAATAAAAACATTAAAAAGCATACATTATAGTAAAATTGAGCCATTATGAGATCAGCCCTAATCATAATCTCCTAAATATTGCCACTAAAAACGCATTTAAACCTGGTCTCACCTTGGTGGAAAAGCGTCCCTGAGAATAGAAAGGGTCCAAACACCGCACCACTATATCTGCCGCCTCCTTTAGTGTGACTGCTGCAGGGGCCTCCCTCTCCGGGACCACCGCCCTCTCGTCTATGTGCGGGTTAAAGGTCACGCGCCGGTCCTCCACTGGACGATTGCGCTTTGCGGTGAACGAAGGTGCCCTCTGTGTTTTTACTTTATGCTTTACCTAGAAAAGCATAAAAGACGTTTGAATGATTAGCGCTGAGTAAAGTAAAGTATCTGGAGAAATAAACAGTCGAAGTGAAAGCAGCACATACTTCTTGTGGAGGCGTCACGGCTGTCGCTGTGTTGTTGTTTAGTCTATGTGGGAATGAATAAAATACAAATTTATTAAAGTCACATTGCCAGGCCTCATTTCTTACTGTGATCGATGTTTGGATAATTCTGTGCAACTTAAAGCTGGGGTTCCCCACTTTCAAACCACACAAATGTGATAATCCTTCCATCCTAGTTCCTTGCTCTCAAAACAGTGGTTCTATCACTAGTTTTCACATGATGTATTTTCAGCCTCTGTCACATCTGTAGACTAAGATAAAGAGATCCTTTATTCGTCCCAGTGGGGAAATTTCAGTGTTACATCACAAGTTACAGACAGTAGGAATGAGGAGCACACAGCACAAGATAAATTAATAACTCTATGCTTAAATAAAATAAAAAAATCTATCTTTAGGATAATAAGAAAAGAAATTTCCAACTTAAGCATGATGAAGAGGCAAGACTTAAGTACAAAAACCCCTGTCTTTAGCATAATAACGAGCAAGTATAAAATACTGTATATTCTATCGCAAGTAATATACTGTATAGTTGAAAGTCTACTGTACATCTGTACATGTTCGACGCATGAGGGTCTGGGACAAAGACACTCAGTAAAGTGACAGTAACACTTGGTTCTATATTGCACATTAATTCAGACATTAATCAAGTTATGATTGCACAGCTGAGTAAAGCAAAGTGACATGTGGTTTCATATAGCTCATTCTGAAATTGGTTTAGTTTTTTGCAGTTTTACTGGTTGTTAGTCATCATTGTTCGTTGTACAGTTTGACAGCAGCAGGAAGGAAAGACCAACCTCACTCATACATTCAGCTATCAGCCAAAAGCATCAAATAGTGACTCAGAGATTTATCTTACAACTTAGCAAAAGATAACATGTTTACTATTAAGTTGAAGACATTGTGTTGTAGTCCAGTTCACATTACTTCCAGATTCCCCTCTCCTGGGTCGGCACTAGATCATATACGGAATCGGGACGGAAGCGGAAGTAAATATAATTCCCATTAAATAACCCCAACCCATCCTTAACCCTAACCTTAACCATCTTACTCAGACGCCTAAAACTTAACCAGTCACCCTTTAAGGACTTTTTAGTCTAAAACTAATTCGAAAGTTTTAGACAAGTAGGGGCGACAGTAGCTCAGTTGGTAGAGCATTGGCCTTCAGGCCTGAAGGTCGTGGGTTCAATTCCCACCTCTACACCTTCTCCACCGACTCCCACTAATGACTGCTGTCGTTGTGTCCTTGAGCAAGACACTTAACCCCACTTTGCCCAAAGCCCCCGCTGAAAGATCAAGGCTATGCTCACACTCAGAGAGCAGCCGTCCTCCTGTGGACTCACCACCTGCAGAGGGTCAGTGAGGGGCTGGTGCTATGAGACTTGGGTGGCATCTCTGATTGCCACCCCCCTGACCCAGAAATGGATTAAAGGGTAGAAAATGGATGGATGGATAATTCGAAAGTAGGATTGTTACTTCCGGTTTCGTCCCGATTCCGTATGATCTAGTGCCGACCCCCTCTCCTGTGGGCCTGCATGAGGTTTCTCACAATTTCCTTGTAGGAGGGTCTTCGAACAGTGATGGTCCAGGACATTTATGAACATTGGTTTAACACTGACTTTAATGCATTATTATTGAGTTTCCTTTGATTATCTGCATCTGACAATACTGTATCGCCCTCTGAGAAAACTGCTGTTGTGATTTTGGGTGATACAAAAACAAATAAAATAGAAAATGCTCCCTCAGAAAAAGAATCTTGAAAAAGTGAATTTCAACATGTAATGATTATGAAAAAAAGATAGTTTGGTACCCCAGACCACATCTTGGTCTTTGAAATTTCCCCACTGTGGGACGAATAAAGGATCTCGTAATCTTGGTCACGGATCATTAATTCCTCAACCCATGATCACATCAAACCTTCAAAGGGATTTCCAATTAGGGAAACCTATTCATTCATTAGAGAAAAAAAAGACAATTGTGTAACTATAACTTCAAGTCACACAAACCAATTAATACATTTTTAGATTAGAAAAAACATCTTACTCTGGAGCAGACATGATAGATTCCACTGGAGGCTCTTGAACACTCTCCTTCTCCTCTTCAGACAGCATTATTACATCCTCATCTTCCACTTTTATGGGACTCTTTTGCACGTCATCCTCAAGGCCCGGCAAGTGCTCCAATCTCACGTCATCACTGACCGTTAGAGTTACGGAGCTTTCTGTTGCCTGTTTACCATGTGTCTCCTTTGTTGCAAAATAATGAGAAATGGTCCGAGAGTTTTTGGCCGCGTCCGCCAACTTCTGCTGCGTCTTGCTCAGAGCTCTGACTTTGTTGGGGGGGCTGTTTAAGGCGCTGACTCTGGCTCGTATTGATGAGGTCACAGAGGAGTCCAGAGCTGGGGAGTTCCCAGAGATGTCAGCCAGCGGCTCAGGCACGGACTGGCCCATAGTGGACGACAACAGGTCTCTAGCGCTCTGGAAGGGATTGGACGAGCCCCTGAGACCTGCACCCACTCTTTTGCGCTTCATCTGAAAATACAAGTACAGCTGGTTCAAGAACGGATCTATTGATTTTATTCATACTGTTGCCCATATTTCAGCCATCATACCATGAGTTTACTGAAAGTTCACACACAAGTAAATACAATGCAGAATCCCCAGCTCCTGCCACTTTTCTTTCAATAATGTCCTGTGCATTACTTCATCCACCGTCCCCTCACTCTTCACTGTCCCTGCTGAAGCAAAGTAGCCCCAGTAGCCCCACTGCATGATACTGCCACCCCCATATTTGACACTAGGGATGGTGCACTGAGGGTGGGGAGTAGGAGTTTGTTTTCATCTGACCACGGCACCTTTTTCCACATGTTGAATGTGTCCCCCATTTTGCTTCCTGCTGACTTTTTTCAATACTGACTTTCTGTTTACCTCTATTCATTATTCGTCTCTGAAAAAAAAATCAGGTTTGTTTAGTGTACGACTAATTTCCCCTGGTCTCTGCACTGGCTTCCTGTGGCTCAGATTCTATAGCAGCTCTGCTTGTGTATGAGTACATCCGAGACATGTCAGTGCCATATGAACCAACTCGGACTCTGTGGCGCACAAGGGCTCAAATCTGAACATCTGAACAGTCTTCCTGAAAATGTGAAACAGGCTTTCTCTCGGACAATGTTCAAATCCAGAAAGCGTTCCGTTTGGCTGTGCATTCAACTGAAGGATTATATCTTGCCTAGAGTGCGGATGTCACATTGGGTAGCCCTGCGTTAGATGTATCATGAATATCTTTTATAATTGTTTTGATTTTCTTTTTGAATTGATGTCCATCTTACAGAGTACACTTGTGAAGCAGACGTGAAGCCCATGGATGAAGAGGATGACGATGATGATGATGATGATGGCTCCCCCTCTTGGTGACTGGGCATATCTGCGGTTTGGTTTTCTTTACTATCCTGTTTCCTCTCAGCTTCAGCCAGTTCTCCCTTTGAGGTGACGGGCATGCTCTTCAGCTCCGACACCTGTGGATGACATCATCGGTCACTTCTCTCATCAAGACTCCAGACTGGACATTTACTGAGGCCACAGTCACCTTTTTAAGAACTGAAGCTTTGTATGTATTGGAGGTCTTGCTGTTTTTGAAGATTGCATGTTCCAAATCCACAGCTAACGGCAGTGACTCGCTGCAGAGTAAAACAGGAACAACTGATATACAATGAGAAGATGACATTTTAAAAACTAAAGTAAGTAAGCAATCTTTATTTATATAGCACATTTTTACAGACCAATGTCACCCAAAGCACTTTACAATATCCAGAGTTCAGATATTGTTCAATTCTCTCTACACACGTTGATGCCAAACACACTGGTGCATCAAAGGTGAAGTACTTTGTGGTACTAACTTAATAGGTTAAGTTCATTTTGTAAAAATCTTTTTCAGTTAGTGGGCAGGTGCCAAAAGAACTCTAGGGAAAAAAGAATACAAAAATTAAAATAAAAAAAATAAAATTGTAATAAAAGAAGCCGCCTTAATATTCTTATGAAAGAAAGTCCTTTCTACTGGCCAACATCATACAAACGTTCACCACTTCTAGACCCCTTTATGAGAAAATATTTAGACCATAGTTGATATGTACTGACTTGATCTTGTTTCATGTGGAATGGCCCAGCTATTAGAGATAAATTAATACTAAACTAAGACAAGTGTGACCTTTGACAGGTACAATAGTTACCAGGAAAGATTTTTTAGCTGCCTTCCACCACAATGTGAATCTAAAGACTAATTGGAATGTTGTGATGTCACATTAATGCAATCTATTACATGCATATTGACGATGATCATAACATATTATAAATCAATATTATGGCATGATATAGTTAATCATTATTCATGTTAACACTGTAGCATTAAAAACCGCTTATCTTTTAAAATTGGATTTACTCACTCAAAGCTGCTGTATGCCCCCTGGTGGCTGCAGAGAGCCTCTTGGAGAAGAACCAGACAGTGTTCTCTGCCCTGAAACAGTGGAAACGTAAAGATGTGACTTTATGTATAGTTTGAGATTGTTTGCTGTACAAAAATATGGATTACATTAATATTTCCATATGTTTAGAAATAATCAGATGCTGGATTAGTTGTTCCAAGTGGAAAAAGAAGTGGATGAGAGGTCCCAGACAGTCGTGAAGGACGACAGACCTGAATCATCTCCAGATCAGGGTTGTTTGGACATTTGTGCATCTCCAGATGAAATTATAGAAGAAGAGTAGGCCAAATATTCTGACGCAGAACACAGCCCATATACTGTACATGTCATGAGGCCCTCAATAATGACACTGGATCAGTAGACGGATATCCATAAAGCAGACAGTGTTGTCCCAGAGATGTCCAGTGAGCGGGAAGAGATTAAAGAAGCCCTCCACATTATTGAGGCTTCTACTGAACCCGAGTGCCCCCAGTACCACCCTTTGCGGAGCAAGTACTGTGCATGGAGCGTTTATATCCCGACTCGCTTATTATTATCCTGGGAGATTTTAATAAGGGAAACTTGAGCCAGGAATGACCCAAACACAGACAGTTTATCTCATGCCCGACCAGAGAGGAGAACACACAGGATCACTGCTACACCACTGTACGCGGAGCTTATGGTGCTGTGCCCTGCTCAGCTCTAAGCTTCTCAGATGAAAACATGATCCACCGGATTCCTGCATACAGACAGAGACTGAAGCTCTTGAAACCTGTAGTGAGGAACTCCAAGGTGTGGTCTGATGAGGCTGTGGATGAGCTGCGCGCGTGCTTGGATTCCACAGAGCTGCCATAGAAAGTCTGGTTGGTAACATGGACACTGGCGTCATACATTCATGTCTGTGACGACAGCATAATCCCAACAAGGACCAGGGTCATCTACAACAACGATAAACCCTGGTTCAATGCTAAACTCAGGTAGCTTAGCAAATTGAAAGAGTCCACTTTCAGAGAGGGAGGTTGCAACGGCTACAAGGCGGCGAAATACCAATTCAGGAAGGTACTCAACGAGGCTAAGTCTCAGCACACGATGCGCCTACAACAGCAGTTCTCCAACAACGACCCTGCCTCTATTTGAAGAAGCCTGAGGCTAATAACAAACCACAAGCCAAACTCCCCCCACTGTGCTGACGACCGCAAGCTGGCTGAGGAGCTCAATCTGTTCTTCAGCCGCTCCCCGGGATCCTACGCCAGGATCCTACGCCAGGATCCTACGCCAGGATCCTACGCCAGGATCCTACGCCAGGATCCTACGCCAGGATCCTGTTTGTGGACTTCAGCTCTGCTTTCAACGCCATCCTGTCATCCGTGCTCCAGGACAAGCTCTCCCAGCTCAACGTGCCCAATTCCACCTGCAGGCGGATCACTGACTCTCTGACGGACAAGAAGCAGCGTGTGCATCTGGGGAAGAATGTCTCTGATTATAAACACAGGGCTCCACAGGGCTGTGTGGAGCACAGTCCTCCCGCCGCCGCCCTCCCTGATGCCCCATCACCTCGGTGGAGTCCTTCCGTTTCCTGGGCACCACCATCACCCAGGACCTCAAGTGGGAGCCGACCATCAGCTCCTTCATCAAGAAGGCCCAGCAGAGGATGTACTTCCTGAGGCAGCTCAGGAAAGCCAAGCTGCCTGCACAGATGTTGTTGCAGTTCTACACGGCCATCATCGAGTCCATCCTCACCTCCTCCATCAGCGTGCCGTTCGCTCGAGCCACTGTCAGGGGCAAACAGAGACTACAGCGCATTGTGCGCTCTGCAGAGGAAGTGATCGGCTCTAGCCTCCCATCGCTGTAGGACCTTTACGATGCCCGAGATCGAGGCCGGGCTGGTTGTATCACATCCGACCCCTCTCACCCGGCATATGGTCTGTTCCAACCTCTCCCCTCAGGTAGGAAGCTACGGTCCATTCGGACCAGTACCTCCTGCCATAAGTACAGTTTCTTCCCCTCTGCTGTTGAACTCATGATGCTTCGCAATTATTGCACTGCTTACTGCATATTATGTGCACCAAGTGAACTTATATTACATATTGTATATAGTATGTATTATGTATATTGTATATAGTAAATTGTAATTGTAATAATTTTATTTTTTATACCTTAGAAGTTTATGCCGATTTATATTATGCCTACTCTCTTCTTTGACTGTTGCACCGAGAGCCAAAGCAATTTCCTAGTCTGGGATTTCCTGTTACTTACATGGCAATAAAAATGATTTTGATTCTGATGGACATATCAACAAGAACGAAGGAACAGGTTATTAACATTTATAAAATTGATCAACTAAAATTGAATTGTACATCAAGTGGGAAAAAAGGTGGAAGAGTATTGTCCCAGACAGTAGTGAAGGACAGACCCAAATCATCTCCAGATCAGTATTGTCAGGACATCTGTGCATCTCCAGATGTAATTATAGAAACAGAGTGGGAGTAATATCCTGACACAGACATGGGCAGAGTACAAGACCATCATCTTTAAGACTGGGTCAGTAGGTTTATGAGAACCTAGAAACCAGCCCAGATGTGGAAATCCATGAAGGAATTACTGTTGTCTCAGAGATGTTCAGTGACCTAGATGACATTCAAGTTATGGGCCTTAACTGTTGATTCTCTGATCTGTGTTGGTGATTTAAATGGTTTTGTCAAGTCCTCCGAGATGACTACTGTTGTGATTTAGGGCTATACAAGAATGAATTGTATTGTATTGCATTGTATTGTATAATAATTGTAGCAACTGGTGTTGTAAAATTTCACATTACGCTACGGATTATTGAGACTATTGATTCCCAATTTTACTAGCTTGTCATACATGTAATTAATTAATGATAAGTTTATACTTATTCCTTCCATACATAGGCGCACTCTATGCTAACTGCTCTACCCTCCATTAGAGCAGTTTGGTGAGCGTGAGGCCACCAGGAGCGTCCCCTGACCCCGCCCCTTATGACTCAAAGCCTCAGCGGTGCTTCGTTCAGCTGTGTGGAATGTGGCTTTGTACCTTCACTGTGAGGCGGGGAATCCTCTGGCTGCTCCCCTCCTTCAGCTGGCACTCTGCGTCTGTGTACAAGGCACACATCAGCTGAAATTCTCTGGGTATTAGGCTTTTAAAGATATTTAGGCTTTTATTATTTTCTTAAAAGCCATTTCCAAGTGTATCTAATTATTAAAAGAATGCACATTTCTGACCATGGGGCACTGTACTATCATGAACGTAAATATTGTTCAACTCAATACATTTTAACCAGTCCCGCCCCTTCACTTAAAAATCATCAATAAGATTAGCTGAAGGAGAATAGTTGAACCAATGACAAGGAGCCACAAGGATTTTAATTATTTTTATCCAAACAGGAAGTTGGAGAGTGTTAGCATGGGCAGGTCAACCAGTGCTCGTCTTCAGGAAGTTTCAGTTTCACTAAAGTAACTGACATTCACTGTAAAATGACAAAATGTGAAACACAAAATGACTGCACTTTCCTTGTATCATTCATTGAAGTTAAAGCTGGGATATCTACCTTTCAAATAAGTCAGTCATGAAAATTACTACATAGATTTATAGTTCAAAATCGAATAGATTGAACAATACATTTAGGTGCTCAATATATAGCCTGTACATTTTCTTTGCAAAGAGCGAGAAGATTTTGCCTATTGTCTTTGTCTTATTCTGCTCAAAATATCATTAAACACTTTTATGTAGTAATTATTGTCCAATTCTGCATTTATTTGTTTCAGTTCATACGTTTTAACTTAAGGATTAAGACAAACAAAAAAGGGTTCAGAGGGATTTTTCAACTGATTTCTAATTGCACCAGTGGCACAAAGTCATTCTGATATTATTGTTATTGCGATATATATATCAAAATACTTTCAAACCACAAAAAATAATAACAAAATTCATGAACTAATTCCAACAGTTTGGTTTCCAACAATTTCCAAACAGTTTGGTTCTATCACTAGTTTCTACATTTATTTTTTTTGGCCCCAGTCGCATTTTTTGATCACCTTTTGAGACAGATAAATGAAATCATTTGTCCACTATATTTTACTTTTACAAGACAAGTACCTTTACAAGGCAAGTACCCCAGCTTTAAATGCAGGGATTTATTTATGCAATTGTTGAGGAAAAAACAGACACAACAATAAAGACTTTACCTGGTGGAACAAAATCCGCTGCGTGTCGGACACCTCCCTGCAACCAAAAAGACGTCTTCAGAGCAAGACAATGTACAGGTACTTAAAACAGATCATAGGAAAGGCCCCCCTCCTCTGCTATGTCTAACGTGAGCCGATTTTGGCCTGAGGGTCGTGGGTCCGATCCCCTACAAAACCTACTCCAACTGCTCCTACTCATGTCGGCTGTCATTGTGTCCTGTGTCCATTGGCCAAAGCCCCCGCTGAAAGACCAAGGCTGTTTCACTGCTGACGGAGCAGCCATCTTCCCTCCTGCAGGTCCACCAAACTGCAGTTCTCTCAAGAACTGCCTTCATCATCATTAATATCATAGCCGCCGGTGCGCCCAAGAACGCAATTAGTGATTTGTTTTTTTTGGGGGTTTTTTCAACTACGTCACCCGTGGATGTTTCAGTCCCCGCTACACTCACCCACAAGTATGTTGTTATGATTCCCCTGCCCCTTCAACCATGTTCCGGTCTTTGCATTCGCAGAATGCTTCCACCACAGCCCCAGTGGATGTATAGGGTTAAAAAAATCATTAATTCTGTGTCACAGGCCTAGACTGTCATGGCGGTTAACATAACGCACGCCGGAATTCCGGCAACGTGTTACTGTTATTATTCATGACTTGAATGCCTTGTATAATTATTTTTATCTTGTTTTGTTAAGCACAGAACTATGCTGTACAAATAAACTTGGCCTTCCCTTTTTGAACAGAACTTGTGCTAGACATTACACACCTGTGGGTCACAGCACACCGAACTCTTTAAAAGCTTGAAGTTGTCCCACAGGACCCCAAAGGAGTTTAAAAAAACTCCTCCAAAGAGAGACTTACTGGATCCATGTTCTAAGAGCGACCAGTTATCCTGGACTCAAGGAGGAGATGGACCTTTTGCCATTCCTATAACCTCCCCACAATATTGAGACTATGCAGCACTGGTTTTCTGTTTTTTGTTAGATGTGATAAAAATGATCTCGCTATGGAGAATGTTTACACGCCTTCAATACATATGCTCTAATCGTCTCAAGCCATGTCGCCTCTGCCTGTATGTTTCCTCATTCAGCAGAACATCTGGTATTCCAGGGAGCCCATGGGGCATAACGCACTGGGACAAATGATGCCAAACATAAGCAAGGCAGCTGCACTTTCGAGGCGCTACACCAACCATAGCCTGCGCAGTACAGCTGTGTAGCTATTGTCAAAAGCCGGCCTGCAAACACTGGAGATTATGATGGTTACCGGACACAGATGCGAAACCAGCCTGAAGAGCTACTGGACTCCCACAACATCTGACCGGGAGAAGTGGAGCCAGATCCTTTCTGGTGAGTTGCCTAATTACATATTTCCCTTCTATCCCGCAAGCCCTGTTTAGCATATTTACGCTACTGTTATCTATTTCCAGAGGCGCCCAACAGAACTTCTGTCTCTGCAAGAGAAGCTGGGGGAATCGCTCCTGAGTTTAACGGGAGTAAGACTTTCAACTTAGCCAGAGATACACCAACATTCCTCATCTCCAACTGCACCTTCAACGGGAATGTCCAGTTTAATGTGAATAAGTAGCTAGCCTAGATATTACACGCATAGCCACACTGCCTGCCCGCGGCACGTTGCAGGGCAACGGGAAAACCTTTGGGGACTACTTTATTTGTTGTCAGGAAATAAACCTTTGGCATTCACTCCACTCTCCACTTCTTTAATAATAAAATTACATCCATCTGTGACAAACTGGAGGAGGTTACTCCTGCTGTTGGTAGTGGACAGGCTGAAGCGGCATACGTGACTTCCCACTTAGACTCTTCAGTGGGCCTCGATAAATTCATGGCTGTGAGCCAAGCAGAGGTGATCTCTGGTCACATCCTCAAAAGCCTCAACTTGCATGTTAGACGCAGTCCCGACATGGCTCTTCAAAGACATACTTCCTTTGATAATTGAGCCTATCGTAAATATAATAAACGCATCCATACAATGTGGCTATGTCCCACAAGCTTTTAAAACCGTGGTAATCAAACCCCTTCTGAAGAAAACAAACCTGGACCCAGAAATACTTACAAACTACAGGCCGATCTCAAACCTCACTTTCATATCTAAAATCCTGGAAAAACTTATAGCTGAGCAGCTTCGCTGCCACCTGCAGGAAAATAATATGTTTGAATTCTTTCAATCAGGATTCAGAGCTCATCATGGCACTGAAACGGCACTAGTCAAAGTCACAAATGACTTACTACTAGCTGCTGATAATGGACAAGTGTCAGTGCTGGTCCTACTGGACCTTAGTGCTGCATTTGACACATTAGACCACAGCATTCTACTGCAGAGGCTAGAATGTGATATAGGTCTTAGAGGAACAGCCCTTGGCTGGTTTAAATCCTATTTATCAGATATTCTGGAGTAGAATTCGGTGTGCCGCAGGGTTCGGTACTCGGACCGATTCTTTTCACTCTCTACATGCTGCCGTTAGGAAACATTATTAAAAAACATGGAATTAATTTCCACTGCTATGCAGATGACACACAGCTTTATCTGTCGATGAAGCCAAATCAGACAGATCAGCTAGAAAAGCTCAGTGCCTGCATAAAGGACCTTAAAATGTGGATGACTCTTAACTTCCTACTTCTCAACCCGGAGAAGACAGAAGTGATCCTACTCGGTCCGAAGCGCCTGCGTGACTCCCTTACTAACCAGATAATCACTCTCGATAATGTCAGTATTATACCCAGTAACACTGTGAGGAATCTTGGAGTCATTTTTGACCAAGAACTCTCCTTCAAGGCTTATATAAGCCAAGCAACTAAAACGGCGTACTTCCACTTACGGAACATCGCTAAAATTAGGAATTTCCTTCCTAAAAGTGACGCGGAAAAACTTATTCACGCGTTTGTCACCTCAAGGCTCGACTACTGTAACGCTTTACTGGCAGCGTGCCCTAAAGCCTCTTTGAAGAGCTTCCAGCTCGTTCAGAATACAGCAGCTAGGATCTTAACAGGTACCAAAAGGAGGGAGCACATAACTCCGGTGTTAAAATCACTCCACTGGCTCCCTGTGGAGTACAGAATAAAGTTTAAAATCCTTCTCTTAACATATAAAGCCATAAATGGCTTGGCTCCTTCTTATCTCCAAGACACGTTAGTGTCGTATCAACCAAGTCGAGCGTTGCGCTCACAAAACGCCAGACGTCTGGTGGTTCCTAAGGTCAGAGCATTTAGCTACCAAGCTCCTTTACTGTCGAATCAGCTTCCCATTTATGTTAAGGAAGCAGATACGGTCTCCACATTCAAGGCCACACTTAAAGCACTCTACTTTAATTTAGCATATAATTAGGTAATATATAATATATGGTGTATATATTATATATATGCTGTATTATGTTATATATTATACAATATATGTATTATGTTATGTATTGTGTTATGTTGTATATTATGTTATATATTATGCTGTATGTTATGTTGTGAATTATATATGATATATATGGTATGTATGGTATATATGATGTATATGATATATAATATATAATTAGGTTTGCTTGGATTGGTTTGCACACCTGGTGTGCAATCCATGAATCTTGGTGCTGTAGCCTGGGCTAGCCTAGCCGTGGCTGCTGCTGTCTCACCTCCTTTCAGATACGCTCTCTTTATTCAAGGCTAGGTTTAAAACAGTCCTCTTTAGTTTAGCATATGGCTAGGAAGGTAAGACTCAGGGAAGGCTAAACTCCTCAGACTGTCAGTCAAGCTGCATAGGGAGTCAGTTTGCTGGGAGAAGTATGGTAACTTGAGCACTATCCTCTCCTCCTTCCTACTTTATCTGTTTAGCATTTTTAGGATTTTGACTGTAGTTTGTTCATTGCTATTCACCCGTTGTTCCATTGTCTGTTTCATGGTACGATGACGGGATCTCTGAGCCTGGCCTCCTCCATCTACACCTGCGGACTGCCCCGCCCGACCCGCCTGGGAGTGCTTCAGTCCTGCACCGGACCTGTCCACGTTCAGCGGCCACTGGTCCACGCTCTGTAGCTAGCTTAGGTCCTAGATCATTAGCCTTTATCCCTTTCTCAAATGGGTCTCCCTCCCTGTGGGTTTCCCTAGTTCTCCCCAAGGTTTCTCACTTTTTCCCACTGGGTTTTTTAAGACTTTTTCCTTGTCGATGCAGGAGGGTCTTGTTGGACAGTTAGTGTCCAACAGAAAGGATTGTGATGATCAGGACACTTTAGCATTCTACAACATGTATGGACATTTTCTTCTGTGTGTGCTTTATATTTTTCATGTGTTTTAACTGTTGATTCTCTGACCTGTGTTGGTGATTTCAATGGTTTTGTTAAGTCCTCTGAGATGACTTCTGTTGTGACCTAGGGCTATACAAGAATAAATTGTATTGTATTGTATTGTGTGTTCATAAAATTGATCTGAAGTTTATTTTGTGTGTTCAGTTGGTACAAAGCAGTATAATAAGCGGCATAATGTATAGCACGCAGGTCATTATCGGAAAATAAGTACCTGTCTAGAGCAAGGTTTGTCACTTGCTATATCCTTGGGAATAATACTATTCTGCCTGGAAAGTGCCCGTTTGAATGGCATTAACCAAGAAATACTATACATTTTAGCCATTCATAATTTAATTTTGAGAATATCTCAGTAGAAAATAAATGGTAAAACATGTATGAAGGATAAATACTGCCATTGGCAGCATTCCCATTTCCAAAAAAATCCCACCTGCAAACACAGACATGAGATTGAAAAAGAATGTCACTTCACCTGAGAAATTGTCAAAAAATATTTATGGGAAATTCTTTTGTTTTAAAAGCCAAAAAACTGCTCTGAATGGGATGTCATAGTGGTACATACTATTACAGGATTGAGACATTTGCATGAATGGATCTAAAAACATCTTCAGGTCTGTTTTTATAATGGATTTGCATAATGTTACAAGTTACAAGATGTCTAGAGAAGTAACCCTCATCACAGTAAGAACACATGGTAGATTACAAATGCCAAACTGTGGAATATTCAAGGCAAAAATCTCCAAGAATATCCACCCCACAATAAAAGTAACTAATTGCAATTTATAAAACCAACATAACAATAGTGACATATTTATTAAAATGTAAAATGCACAGGCTGCATAACAATTTCCTCACATTTAAAATCCGTGATCCTTCATTGATTTTTCAAATTTTAGAAAAGCCTCTGATCTACAAAATACATCTCATATAGACTAATTTATTGATAATACAATACTTTTTACGGAAAAATGCGCCTATTTAAATGATCATTGACAGGAAATGTTACAGTGTCCTGGAAAAGACCAGTTTCATTATAGCATGATAATTCAACTCATATAGAGCTTCGGTCATGTTCTCAAAAATATATAATACAAATATGTTATCTTTGGATATACATATACATATGTGACTTTTTAGTGAAGAAACATAACATCTTGATTTTCTCAGGTGGACTTGATGAAATTGAAAAACACTGTTATTAAAGCTGGAGTACCTAACTTTTTTGCTACATAATTACATGTTGTTTGTCCCATCAGAAAGAGTCACATTTATTTGAATGAATCAGACCATACATAATGTGTCGTTTTTCACTAAAAAAGCTCATATAAAGATGAAACAATGGCCAAAAATACATTATAAATCTTTATAGAACCACACTGTTTTTAAAGCTAAAAACTAGTTTCATAGATTATATTACATACCCAATATTGTTGTGGTTTCAAAGTCAGGTACCCCAACTTTAATGTAAAGTTGTCATAGTCCATTGTTCTACTGCTCTGGCCAGCAGGGATTGTCGGGGGCCTACAAAAACACTCACATCATCCACATGAAAATATAATTTTGTATTAGTAGAAGAAAATACATGTAACATCTGGGATATAAGACCATGTTTTACAAAAACATCTGGGATATAAGACCATATTTAAAAAATAAGAAATAAAAATCCTGCTAGCCCTTTCTTCCTTGTGTAAAAGCAGTCCATATCTCCTTGTAAAATGAACGCAGGCCCCTATAGATTACTAAAGAGTTCATTCTTCTTGGTCCAGTCCATGGGTGGGGCCCTCTTGTTGGAGCGTTTCTGGTGAGCGAGCTCTTTGACCTGCTGCAGCGACAGGTTTAATGCAGGGATAGCGTCAGTGATCAGGCCCTGCAGGACGACACAAAGACATCGATCAGGGATTTTACACCAGTGGTGGTCTAGAAAAGGTTGTTATAGTGCAGCAGATAACCAATGCAATCGTTCAATTTGTGATAAAAGCACGGCATTTGGTATACATTTAGCCAAAAAGGGCATACCGAAAAGATTTGGATGTGGAGACATCATGAATTTTCAACATGGCGCCCATGTCAGACATTTTTCAAAATGGCCACCAGCAACTCCTGTTTTCTTAATATTAGGGATATTTAGACATAATGTCAAATTTTAGACTATTTTACCATTTATTGTACTTGGCCATACTTTTGATGTGTCTATTGTGAAAATTTGTGGGAACCTGTTTTGTTACCGGTTTTCTGTGACACTAATTGAGTTACGCAAGTACACATGTCAAGTGACGTCTATGGTGAAAGTTTGCTAATAAGAGCCAATTTGATTTTACATAAGTGTTTTAAGCGATGACAAGGTCAGCAAGGTATGTGTATATGCGTGTGTAGTATGTTTATGTCATGAATCTATAATATTAAGTATAGGGTATTACTAGCTTAGAGCTGTCCCACCCACGGGCACAGGGGGCGCCCATGGTACTGCAGACTAAATTCACGTGGGCTACCCAGAAAAAAGCCCCTTAGAACTCAATGTAAATTAAAACAGCTCGACCTCAGCTGACAAAGAACCTACAGCTTTCAGAAAGATCGGATTTTGTGGGGATTTTAGTGTCCCTTGTCATCCTGAACTTTTTTTCTTCTTAAATCCTTCGGTTTTCTTTAAATCCACACTTTACTGCCACAAACTCTGCTCCTTTCCTTCCCGCTGTGACTCCGCTCTACCGCTGCTCTGATCAGCAGCTCTGATTGGTCAAAGCGCGGCCGAGCCCCTCTGTGCACGTGCATGAAAGCCACACACGCGTATTTGGCGCGACGCATCATGGGAGATAGCCCACTGCGCAGAACCGGGAGCACCAGACGATGCCCAAATATAGGCGAGTTCAGCTAATCTCCCGGTCTCCTTGAAGTCCCATGCGCTACTGAGCACAAGCCATTCATTTGAAGCCCCCCATCTTGGATCACCGGGGCTTGGCCCATAGGTGGGACAGCTATAAGCTATTAATACCCTATCCAGTTATTTTTATAGATCCATGGTATCAAACCAGTCTGGAAACAATGGTGGCCATTTTGAATTTTGAATATAAATGTGAAAAAAAAAACCACTAGCAAGCACCTATGGTAATTAATCGAATTATGTGTACAAAATCACATTATATCCATCACTCATAAGAAAACTGTTGTTTCTGACGGCCCTTTTGAAAAATGGCTGCAATGAGCGCCATGTTGAAAATTAATGATGCCTCCATTTCCAAAACTTTTTGGTATGCATTTGGCTATGTATGTACCAAATTTCGTTGAACGATTCTTATGCATATTGGAGTTAAGCTGCTGAACTATTAGTTTTACCTCAGGAGGGGTATTTGCTGGAGGTGTGGTGAGAGAGGTGTTGGAGGAGGCGTTGGATGGGGAAGGACTCACGGACAGTTTGGAATCCCTTTCAGGCTCCTTTCTCTCTCTTCCGTCCATCTGTAAAGGTTTTAGTGTTCGATTAAATACAGTAAGTACACTTGAAAGCGTACACACCTTAAAGCTGCACTAACTGACTTTGGGATTTTGAAGCCGCGGACCCGCTGGCCTCTCTCTTTCTGCTCCCCTCCCCGCACCCACGAAGCTATCGCCCCCCACACACACCCACTGTTGGGACGGAGCTAGTGTCTCCCAATATGGATAATACATGAATATGGATTTGTACGTGGATGGCGTGACCATAAAACGATAGAACCGGGAAGCGCGGAGGAACGGGACTTTCTTTTGGATGGCTGTTTCGCTAAGTAAGCAGTAACCGGTGATGAAGACACGAAGCTTCAGGTTAGCTCCTCGGCTTGTTGTGCTAACTCAGCTGTCTATGCTAACGGACCTGTAGATTTCTCACAAAAGTGGGGGCTATTGGTCCGCTGTGATTGGTCACAATCTGCGACCCGAAACACATTCTCTTCCTTGTTTCATCAAAACTCGATCTAAAATATAATGTCACGCCAGCACAAATCTGCGCTAATTATTCTTCAAAAGGACGTATATCCCAATGCACTACATGGACATGGATAGCATTTTCGTAATGAATACAAAAATAAAGTCAGTTAGTGCAGCTTTAAAAGAAACGTTTATTGTTTGGCCATATTCAAGAGATGTAAACAAAAACTCAAACATATTTTCCCACTCATTGGAGGTGGTTGTAGAAGCCATTTATTGTCAAATTAACGTGTTTACTTTTTATAAATGATAATGATGAGAGAAACTCCTCTACTGACCCTGTCCCCATCCCCCAGTCCTCAATAGCACGTGGGCATCTCTGACAGCTTGGAGCCTTTCCGTCTTTTCTTAGCAAAATTCCTGGAGTTCCTGTAATTTCTGGGCCACATAATGAATAAACTGTACAGCTCTCTACTGTAAATGGCTTCACACAACCACACCAATGAGTGGGAAAAAGGTTATTATTCATAATTCACCAAAACAAGGGCAAAATAATTGTATTACTGCAAGGGAGCGTAACATTTTAAGCGCAATTGTAAGTACAAAAAACAGAGCCTTTAATAGCCGTAATTCATTGTGACCTATAGTCTGCAATACCATAGGATACCACCCAAGGGCAGTGTTTTCTTATATACTGCAAACAACTTTCATTCACAATCACAAGCCTAATTATATCTGTGATACCTATTATACTATCAGGGCTCGACATTAACGGTTGTCCGTTTGCCCGGGGCAACAAAAGATTTGGGCCGGGCAAGTGCGCTGTTTTAGCAAGTTGCCCGATCAGGCAAGTGATGCATTACTTTCACCCATTCAGGCCGGGACACTATTTCTTCATCTGAAGCCGGGAGCGGCTTTGTTTATCTTTTTTTGACCAATTCTCTCTTCATTGGTAAATTCTCTGGATGAATGAAATGCATCTGGATAAACCAGGGATTAAAATGTTATTTTTTCCGCTGAAAACGTAATTTCTGTTAAATGTGTGACCGCGGGAACTTTCTGTTGTTTGCATTACATACTCGAACAGCATTCACATCCTCCGTTCTGAGCCCAGGGCAGCTGTGGCCGCTTTGTACAGACAGCCGCTTTGACAACACCTCAGTGAACCCACTTTGTGCACCAAAGTAAAATGTTGCAAACAAATCCAAAAGAACACACCACAACAGGCGTCTTGTTTTTTTATTTTGCATACTTAAGAGCCCTGGGAGTCATTATTTGTTTGTGAGTGCAAATGTGGGACAATGGATGCAAATTAGCCCAAGGCTACAATCCGGAGTGATGTGTTCATTAACATGTACTGTCCCAACCAAATAAACAATAAATAAACTATTTGATGCTTTGGGCTGAGAGCTGAGTGAGGGTGGTCCTCTGTTTTTCTGTCTGAAAAACCTGATCTGAAGACAGAGCCCAAAATACATGCATGTGAAAACCAGTGATACCAACTGTTGGTTACTGAAAGTAAGGACATTTTTTTATTACTTTCCACTATATAGTGCTGACTTCTTTCCATGTTACTCCTGATGTTTTCAATAATCTAAGGCAGTGTTTTTCAACCACTGTGCCGCGGTACACTAGTGTGCCGTATGATATTGTCTGGTGTGCCGTGAGAAATTCGTCTACTTTAATAGCACCTGCAGATGGTGACCAAGGCTATCGATGAACAAGAGGCCCTTTGGTGCTAATGGTTGCAAAAGTGATGGGAAGCAGTTTCAGACGCTGGAAACAAGACGGCATGTATCGACCTAAATGATTAGAATATCTTGTGCGGGGAGCTGACCATAACAATCCACCCTTTGATTATCTTAAATCAATCACACACAAGCAATCAAGTACTAAAAATATAAGTAAAATATAAGTAAAATATAAGTAAAAATATAAGAAACCCGGAACAACCAAAACTTACACACCTAGAGGTTAAGAAAATCCGTCATAAATTGGGTTAGACATACAAACCAATTTACTCAAAATCATCAAGTAACATCTCACTAATGGATCACTGTCCTCATCAAGACAGTCAACATGCAGGTTAAGAGAAGTGTGTTTGAACGATTTGTTTGGTGTCGACGAGATCATACGTCGATCAATGAACTGATCACAGGAATGACACAACTTGACAGCCACTATTAGCAGTACTAATATTACTCCCAAGTCCAGTACCTATTTGCACCAACCATGCTCGCCATTCTGAAAACATGAGCATCTAGAACAAAACACTGCTAACCGCATCGCGCCAAGTGGTTTAGATTTCGAATACCCTGTGCAATGATCCCATCATCGGCACTGTTATCAGGAATATAAGTACAACAAGCTGGTCTGATTTAAGTTAAAACAACACCTCCACTTGAGGCAACCAATGGTCAAAACAATCCTGTTTTGTAAAGCAACGGCACGCAACGCAATTACTTCATACCTGATGCCTCTAGAATAGTTACAGTTGAATCACAAAAAATTGAAAACCGAATAATTCAAGGTTTCCATTCTAACATGAACCTTCCTATACCGACCTGGGGGAACAAGGATAAAGTACTTTTGTTGCTTGGTCCACAGTAATGTGATCATCAGGAACGTCCCGTCCCCAAACTGCCATCAAGAGCAGCAAAAACGCGCTTACCTCGCGATCTAGGAAGGTAGAGATGATGTAAGAGTGAATCTGGAAGCTATCATCAGAGCACCACTACCTATCCAATTAAATGGTACTTCACATAGACATGAAGCCACACAGCCACAAAACACCCTTCAGAGGAATAAGTCCCTGTTGAGTCAGGAACCTTAAGTATGGAGCACCTGTACTACCGAGCGCCTGAGAGTGTTAAACTTGAAATACCATTAAAAGAGAAGTGCACGGGTTAGAACACATTTTAAACAAAATGACAGTAGGGGATCCGTCCCATCTGTATAGGAAATTGTAATAGGACATCGGATAGATGTGATAACTACAAATTAAGTACCGAGGGTCTGATATGTACCGGCCAAAAATATTGGATCTAATTCATCATTAAACCATAATTGAAGAAGTTCAGAACTAACATCCGTTTGAGTGGGGGGACATTACACTGTACGCTTTGAGTGACGGTCTCATTGAAATAATCATCCGGAGACAGATGAATACAGAATCTTTGGAAAATGAGTAAATGCATCGCCCATTAGGTAGAGGTGTGATTTGTGGGTTTGATGACCGCAATAGGCATATGAGTACAAATGTACAATTTGAGCGATTTTGTGACTCTGCTAAGAATTTTTGCATAATTATACCAAACATTAAGTGTGTATACCTGGTGTGATTTTATTGACTGAGCAAAAACACGTGACCACGCTGAATCCATCACGGCCACATGCTTCCCTCTTTCACACGTTTTGATGTAAATGAAGAGGTGTTAAAGTGTAATTGACAAGGACCTGTGTTTGATTGTTCTTTTTATCTCCCGACCTTCAAACCATAACAGAGGAAACACAATGAGGAAGGGAAATGAACATGAGCACACACACAGTCTTCTCATCGCCGCCAAGGCCCTCTGCTTGAATGGATGCCAGGGACCCGAGCTCCCGCCGTGGCGCATCATGGACTAGGGATTTTCACTTGTTTGATCTTCTTGTGTTACCTATCCTTCTGCGCATCTATGACCTAGGAGTGTAGTTACCAGCACTTTTCTCCTGAGCAGCTAACAATGTATTTTCTAACAATGTGTTACGTTGGGAGGTGGTAGATGGGGGTGTGCCCTCTTGTCGCGTTGGGAGGGGGTAAGATCCCCTTATGCTTCCGTTGTACGCTCCGCAAGAAGAGCTGGGACTTGTTTGCAGTGCGATGCGTGGACCCAGTCTGCCTCTCCTGACTTTCACAGCGATGTGAGTGACGAGGAGAACTTGGAATGGGCCCAAAGCCAGCGGTGGTGATTCCACTCCTCGGCTTGAAGTATCTTACAGACGAAGTCGCCAGGTGTTGTTGTTGAAGTGGATGGACCGCACGCTGGGAAGGCCGATGACGACCTGTCTTCTGATTCAGAAAGAGACATTTGTTAGGTTATACAATAACTTATCATGCCATCCTCGCACAGGATGGCATCTGGTTTGCGGTCCCCGCAGTCCATTCCTACATTGGGGGGGAGCTGCAAACAAACAATCTCAAATGGGGACAGGTTGTTACCGTGCGCACTCTCATTCGCATGTACATCAGTAATTTGGCAAGCCTTTTTGGCCAGCTAAGTTTTGTTTCCTGACAGCATTGGCCAGTTTTGATTTTTATTGTGAAATTCTCTCTCTACCACAGCTCCACCATATTGTGGGTGATAGCTGCAGTGATTTCAAATCAAATTTCAAAATAATCATACAGATGTTTTTAACACTCATTAAGAAAAAACAAAAATTCGACCAATTATCGCTGGACAATTTCTGAGGAATTCCCCATTTTACAGAATTGTTCAGTTAAGAAGGCGTTTTGCTACTGCAGCGGAGGACGCATGTTTTTGGCAGGGAAAGCTTCAACCCACTTGAAAACATAT